TTCAAATTTTGGGTGAATTCAATTTACTTTTGACTGTGAGCTGGAGTTCACTGCTTCTGTTGATTAAGTTGATTGCTCCAAACCATGGTGAGGCCGAAGTCATTCTCGAGATCTAGGGCCTCTCAGTCTCAGCCCCTACCACAAGCCTCCATTCCTGTGAATACACCTACCAATCTACCCTCATCTTCTAGTGCTCGAACCCGCTTGGGTAGGGGTAGGGGTGCTCAAGTGGATACCCCGACTCACTTTAAAGGGCACTTGACCTTCACTAAACCCGCCAATCAGCAGAGATATGCTAAGATCTGTGAGAGGCGCATCATATCCTGTAAGTCTTGTGATAGACTCTCTCTGACTGCCCTCGGTATACAGGCGGAGGTTGATCAGATGTTTACCGCCATTGGGTGGCGCCCGTATTTTGATATTTCTTGTCCCGCCTTTGTTGAGCTGATTCGGGAGTTTTAATCTACTTTTGAGTTCGAGTTGCCTACGAGGTTCACCGTTGAAACACCGAATGTCATTCATTTCCGTCCAATGGATCGAGAGTTCAATTTCTCCATTACCCAATTCAATCTAGCATTTGGATTTATTACTAGAGAGTATGCTGAGACTAGAGAGTATGCGGAGAGTGCCTGTGATTACATAGAGCCGTTCCTATCCCACTACCATGATGTGTGGGAGGACATGTCGGTCGATCAGCACCGCTACGACTCTTCTAGGTCTAGGAGCTCCTTTCTTAAGGACCCTATTGCCCGATATGTTCAGAGATTCTTAACATACAGCTACTCGGGGCGCAAGGACAACTCCGGCATACTCTTTCGGCCTGAGTTCTTCTTCCTCTGGAGTATGAAGAACAACATAAAGGTTAACTTGGGGTGTTGGTTGGCGGCATAGTTTAAGACGGTTTTAACCAAAAAGAACAAACCTCTTATCCTTGGATCCTACATCACCCACTTGGCGACCCAGTTGGGAGTTCTTAATCTGGATAACCACGACCTCCATTTGGCATTCGAGATGGAGCACCTGGACGTCGACTGCTTGGAAAAGATGGGGGTCGTCGAGCGCCTATCCAATGATTTCTTCCAGTTTACCCCTCCGAGACCACCTCGAGCTCCGGGTGAGCACCCTTCGACCCGGGCAGGTCCCTCTTCATTCCCTGGGTCGGCCGAGGGCACTGCTGGACCGTCTACCTCCGCTTCTGCGCCATCTCCACCACCTGGGACTACTTAATGGCAGCAACTCCGCTATTATTATTTGTTTCTTTTTAAATTCATTTTTGATCTGATTTTCTGGTATTCTTCTAGTGTATGCCTCGATCTTCTCGTACAGGTGATTTGATTTTTGACCCTGAAGTAGAGAAGACCGCGCGTAGGACAAGAAAAGAGACCAGACAGCTCAGAGAGGAGCACTCCAGTGCTGCATCTCAGAGACCTGAGTCAGAAGTTGAACCAACAGACTCGTTTGGTGACACTTCGAGTGACTCTGACCAGGAGGAAGGTACCATGGCTAATGCACAAACATTAAAGGAGCTGGCTGCACCTGATTTAAATCAGCAGCCTCTATGCATTACCTTTCCCACCTTAAATGATAACACTCCATTTGAACTAAAATTTGGTCTGATTCATCTTTTACCCTCTTTTCATGGTTTATCAGGTGAAGATCCGTATAAGCATCTGCAGGAATTTGATGTCGTGTGTAACAGTATGAAACCCCCGGGCATTACAGAAGAGCAAATAAAAATGAGGGCATTCCCCTTCTCCTTGAATGACTCTGCAAAAGACTGGTTGTACTACCTACCACCAGGTAGCGTCACCACGTGGGACCAGTTGAAAAAAAAATTTTTAGATAAATATTTTCCTGCGTCTAGAGCTGCAAGTCTAAGGAAAGAAATTTGCGGTATCAAGCAGCATCCAGGGGAGTCGCTTTATGAGTACTGGGAGCGATTCAAGAAGTTGTGCAATAAGTGCCCCCAACACCAAATAAGTGAGCAGTTGTTTATACAATATTTTTACGAGGGACTATTCTTCAGAGACAGGAGTATCATTGATGCTGCGAGTGGAGGGGCACTGGTGAACAAGACCCCTCGGGAAGCTAGGGAGTTAATTGAGGGAATGGCAGAGAATTCACAGCAAATCGGTACGAGGGAGGATGTTCCAATACGCAAGGTAAATGAGGTAGAGACATCCTCTATCCAGCAACAGCTAAGTGAGTTGACATCCTTCGTTAGGCAACTGGCTGTGGGAAATGCATCACAAGCCAAGGTATGTGGGATTTGCACTGGTATGGGTCACTCTGCAGACATGTGTCCAATGATTCAGGAAGAAACTGCAGAACAGGCGAACATGGCTGGCCACGCGCCCGCTCCAAAAAAGCAGTACGACCCTTAATCAAGCACCTACAATCCTGGTTGGAGAGATCATTCCAACCTCAGATATGGAGGGAATAGGCAGTCCAATTTCGCACCAAATAGACAACAAGAGTACCAGCAGCAGTACCAGCCTCGCCAACGACCACCCCCTCCGAATTCGAGTCCGTCCATAGAAGAGATGATGAAGCAGTTACTTGCGAACCAGCAAAAGACGGATTCAGACATGCAAATCATGAGGAATCAACTAGGAAAAGTGCCATCATTGCAAAATCAAGTAAATCAAATGGTTATCACGATCAACCGTTTGGAATCCCAAATTCAAGGGAAGCTGCCATCTCAACCCGAGTTGAACCCGAAAAATGTGAGCGCCATAACCTTGAGGAGTGGCAAGGAGGTTCAAGGGCCTGAGCCTGTGATCCTTAAGGACAAGGATGAGGAGAAAATCGAGAATGAGCTTGAGAGGGAGGACAGCAATGGTGCAGATCCAAAGGTACTTCCAGACCCAAAAATTACAGTTAAAACTAACCCGCCTCCTTTTCCTAGCAGGTTGGAAAAATCGAAAAAACAGGATAAGGAGAAGGAGATCTTGGAGGTGTTTCGCAAGGTAGACATAAATTCTCCCTCTTAGACACAATCAAACAAGTACCAAAATATGTCAAGTTCTTAAGGGACTTGTGTGTCAACCGAAAGCGGTTGAGGGGAGATGAAAGGATTATTGTTGGGGAAAATGTGTCTGCGGTCCTGCAGAGAAAGCTTCCACCAAAATGCGGGGACCCAGGTATGTTTACTATCCCCTGTAGGATAGGCAATACTGTGATTAGAAGGGCCATGTTGGATCTGGGAGCATCAATTAATGTCATACCTAAATCTATCTATGGTTCTCTGAAATGAGGTCCATTAAAAGAAACTGGAATAATCATTCAATTAGCTGACCGAACTAATGCATATCCTGATGGGTTGGTTGAAGATGTGTTGGTAAAAGTTAATGATTTGGTGTTTTCAGCTGATTTTTATGTGTTGGATATGGATGATGATCACTCCCCCGATCCCTCACCTTTGTTATTAGGTAGACCCTTTATGAGTACAGCACAAACAAAAATTGATATTAATAAGGGTACCTTATCCATGGAATTTGATGGGAAAATTGTGCATTTTAATATCTTTGATACTATGAAATATCCCTCAAACTCCAACTTTAGCTCAATTTTCTCTATGAGTGCTATTGACCCTGCAGTGCAGGAAGTGTTTGAAACTGTTGGCAGGGATGAGTTGGAGGTAGTTTTAACCAAGCACTTAGAGTTGGAAACAACTCCTGAAATGGAGTGGAGCGAGGATCTAAAATGCACAATATGTGCATTACACTCATTGCCGACCACTACAAAAAGATATGAAATCTTGCCTATTTTTATTTCCGAACCTCACCAGAGGGTATTGTCATCTGTGGTACAGGCACCTGTTTTAGAGTTGAAGTCCCTACCAGAGCACCTAAAGTATGCGTATCTAGGTGACAACGAGACACTCCCGGTGATTATTTCGTCAGCACTGTCAAAAATTCAAGAGGAGAAACTGATCCGGGTTCTTAGAGAGCATAAAGAGGCGATAGGTTGGACAATCGTAGACATTAAGGGGATCAGTCCGACCATCTGTATGCACTGGATTAGACTGGAAGATGATACTAAACCTGTTCGGCAGGTTCAATGGAGGCTCAACCCCCTCATGATGGAAGTTGTAAAGAAAGAGATTTTGAAATTGCTAGATGTGGGGATCATCTTTGCAATATCCGATAGCCCTTGGGTGAGCCCGATCCAAGTAGTCCCAAAGAAAGCAAGAGTGACAGTAGAAGCCAACCAAACGGGTGAGCTCGTGCCAGTGCGCAAGCCCACTGGATGGAGGCAATGTATAGACTACCATAGGCTAAATGCCGTCACCAAAAAGGACCATTTTTCTCTTTCTTTCATTGACCAAATGGTTGAACGTTTGGCTTGTAGAGCTTACTATTGCTTTTTGGATGGATTTTCAGGATACTTTTAGTTAGCAATTGCACCAGAGGATCAAGAGAAGACAACCTTCACGTGCCCGTTCGGGACCTTCGCGTACAGACGAATGTCATTTGGGTTGTGCAATGCACCTGCAACATTCCAGAGGTGTATGGTAAGTATTTTCTCTGAATATGTGGAGAAAATTATTGAACTTTTTATGGACGATTTCAGTGTGTATTGTGATAGTTTTGATACGTGTCTAGATAACGTGAAATTGATCCTGATAAGGTGTATAGAGACTAATCTTGTGCTTAATTGAGAAAAATGTCATTTTATGATTGAGCACGGGATAGTCCTGGATCATATTGTATCATCTAAGGGCATCGAGATTGACAAGACTAAAATAAACATTATATCTGCATTACCTTACCCCGCGAATGTGCGGGAGGTGCGTTCTTTTCTTGGACATGCAGGTTTTTATCGAAGGTTCATCAAAGATTTTTCAAAAATTGGGGCCCCGTTGTTCCAACTCTTACAAAAAGATGTAACCTTTGAGTTCGATGACAAGTGTGAGAAAGCTTTCAACAAGTTGAAAGGGCTACTGACCTCACCCCCGATCATCCAGTCCCTCCGATTGGAGTTTGCCATTTGAGATCATGTGCGATGCCAGTGATCATGCTGTAAGGGCTGTATTGGGGCAGCAAGTAGGGAAGGCAGCTCACGTCATCTATTATGCATCCCGCGCCCTGAATGGGGCCCAATTGAATTACTCCACTACTGAGAAGGAGTTTCTTGCAGTTATTTTTGCTTTAGAAAAATTCAGGTCATACTTGTTAGGTGCTAAAGTAATTGTATATTCTGATCATGCAGCATTAAGGTACCTAATGACCAAGAAAGATGCAAAATCGAGGCTCATCCGGTGGATATTGCTACTACAAGAATTTGACTTGGAGATAAGGGATAAAAAAGGTTCAGAGAATCTAGTAGCAGACCATTTGAGTCGCATACCAGTTGGGGAGGAGAACTAGCCATTGAAAGATGCATTCCCTGAAAAGCATTTATTTTTCTTAAATTCTCAGTTGCCTTGGTATGCTGATTTAGTCAATTATCTAGTAACGGGTAATTTTCCTACAGGTTGGCCAAAATCGAAGAGGGATAAATTGAAGAGCGACGCCAAATATTTTATCTGGGATGACCCGTACTTATGGAAGAGATGTGCAGATCAAGTGATGCGTAGATGTGTAAGTGAAGTGGAATTTCAATCGATTTTAACTTTTTGTCATACTTTTGCCTATGGAGGTTATTTTAGACCCAAGAGAACTGCTCATAAGGTATTAGAAAGTGGATTTTATTGGCCTTCATTGTTTAAGGATGCTTATGTGTTTTGTAAGTCATGTGATCGCTGTCAAAGGATAGGTAATATAGCCCGTAGAGATCATATGCCCCAAGTCCCGCTGATTTTCGTTGAAATTTTTTATGTCTGGGGTATAGATTTCATGGGGTCTTTTCCTACTTCATTTGGTTTCATGTATATTTTACTAGCAGTTAATTATGTGTCAAATAGGTGGAGGCCAAGACCACTCGGACTAATGACTCGAAAGTAGTTGCAGATTTTATCCGGCCTAACATTTTTGTGCGATTTGGAATGCCAAAAGCTATTGTCAGTGATAGGGGAACGCATTTTTTCAATAAAACCATAGCTGCGTTATTTCGCAAGTATGGTGTACTCCACAGGGTCTCAACGTCGTACCATCCCCAGACCAATGGTCAAGCGGAGGTATCGAATCGGGAGATTAAGTCCATTTTTGAGAAAATGGTATGCCCCGATAGGAAATATTGGAGTCAACGGTTGGAAGATGCACTCTGGACCTATCGGACGGCATATAAGACTCCTATAGGGATATCGCTGTACAGGTTGGTATTTGGGAAGTCGTGTCACCTTCTAGTGGAGTTCGAGCACAAGATTTTTTGGGCGATAAAACAATGCAACATGAATCTAGAAGAGGCCGGTGCCCAACGAAAGTTGGATTTGCAAGAGTTGGAGGAGATCCGGAACGAAGCGTACGAAAATGCTTTAATTTATAAGGAGAGGAGCCGGGCATTTCATGACCAACAAATCTCTAGAAAAACGTTTGCAGTTGGTCAGAAGGTCCTCCTGTACCAATCCAGGCTCAAGCTATTTCCAGGTAAGCTACGTTCCCGTTGGATTGGACATTTTATTGTTACTCACGTGTTTCCATATGGTGCAGTTGAAATTCGGAGTGCTAAGACAGATAACAAGTTTGTGGTGAACGGACACCGCCTCAAGCATTATTACGAAGGTGATGCGGATACGGGTGTGCAGCAACTTCAATCTTGGGTCAAGGATCCTTTGGTTAACATTGGTGGTCCGATGACAAGATTAAGATGCAAGAAGGTGAAGGAAGCTTTACAAGCCTTGATCATTCACCATACAAGCAAGGAGCAATCTAAGTTTGAAAATTTGATGGACCATGAAGTTACCTTGTTCACTTGTACGTTTGAAGTGAAAGAATGATCTCATACTTGTTAGCTTAGTTGATAGTTGTTTTAAGACTGTCTAGTTTAGTAGTTGTTAGGCGTTGAGTATTTTATTACTTATTGGGCCTTATCGGAAAGTCTTAAAGAGCTGGCTCTTTAAGCTCTTTATGTGGATCGAATTTCTTCCAGGTTTATGTGGGCCGGATTTTACCCTAGTTTTAGCCTATAAAAGGCACCTCTTGTATGAGTAAAGGACAGATTATTACAACCAAAAATCGTGAGAAATTTTCCTTTCAAGTTCTTAATCGAACTTACTCTTGAATTCTTGAGTTCATTGCTTAGGATTCAAATCTGACTTTATCGATTAGCTTGTTCCCTAATCGTGGTGTCTCTTCATCCATCTTTATTTGCTTAACGTTGCTGATTGCCTTTGTGTGTCAGAGGTCTTGAGTTCATGAGAACAATCGAGTTCAATTTCCATTGGGAGAAAAGGTCCAACACTGATAATTACGAGGTTGGGAGGGTCTAGGAGGGTCTTCCCCTAGGGTTGCTTATCAGTTGGCATCAGAGCATCAGATTAATTCTCTTTCAATTGAAGTTGTTCATATCTTATTAGTTTGTGTCTTTTGTCAAAAAAATAAAAAAACTGTAGCGATTACTGTTCATCATACTGTTCCGAAATACTATTCATCGTTACTGTAGCGTACTGTTCACGTTACTGTTCATCCGAGTAAAAAAAAACCTGTTGGGTGTTGTCTTTTTGTGTTTTCTGTCCAACTTTTGTTCTTGAGTCTGTTATACTTTTGTTGGGTTTGGGTTGTTAGGGTTTTAAAAAAAAAAAAAAAAAAAAGAGTCACGTACCTTATATTGTTTTAGTGTCCAAGTTGCTAGAGTATTGCTGAAATTTTCTTTTGAGTATTGCTGAAATTTTATTGTGCCTATTTCTTGAGTATTGGTTGTTGTTCTTGCAAACCCTAAACACCACAACTCAATTTGGAGAAGTTCTTGAGCTTTTTGAACAAATTCTTGAAGTTCTTGGACCATCAAGTCTTGTTTTGAAAATTCTTGAACAATAAATCAAGAACCAGGGTCTTCTTGAAATTTACATAACCTTTCATCCGTTTTTCTTGAACTTGTTGGTGTGACCTGAATTTGTGCTCCTTGAAGAGCCGAAGCAAAAAAAAAAAAAAAAAACAAAGAAGAGAAGGAATCGGCTCTCACACAAAGGAAATCAAGTTTTCCAAATCTTGAGTTTCCAATTCTTGATTGGTTTCCAATTCTTGAATAGTCTCCAAATCTTGATTGGTTTCCCAAAACTTGAGTCTCCAAATCTTGATTGGTTTCCAATTCTTGAGTCTCCAACCTTAATTGAATTCCCACAACCCCAAACGACCTAACCAGCCCCAAACACCCCCAAATCAGTTTCCAAAACCAAACCTAAACCGCCACAAACACCATTTACCATCCAAATACTGACCAGAAACTCAACAAGAACAGCAGCTCAAAAAAAAAAAGAGGGGTTCTAGTTTCGGGTAGAGTTTTTCTGAGATTTGTAAAATTCTGCTTTGTATCTTGTTACTTACTTATAGGGTAATTAATTCTGGAATTTTTGAGATTTTGAGTTGTTTTAAGAACTTCGAGGAGGAAAATTGAGAGTAAGTGTGTTTCCTTGAATGATACACGAGTGCTTGCAAGGTAGACTAGGATACACTTGTTTTGCAGGTTGGACAATATGTCTCAAGAGGGGAACATGCCTGAGCTGTCTGAGACCGACATGTCACTCAAACTGATGCTCCAAACTCTTCGAAAACAAGCGGAGAGACATGAAGTTGTAATGACACAATTATTAGACAGATTGGCTGCTATTGAGATGCGAGGTACCGGAAATACACATAATAGGGTTTCGAGTGTTCAGAATACTGATCATGATGTGGATGATGAGAGATATCATTCTAACACCTCATTTGGATCAAGGAAAGGCCAAAGGGGAGTGATGGAACACAAACATAAACCCCAGCGAGAGAACGAATCTCTTAAAAGGAGGGGTTCCAGGCAATCTACCTCTTTAAAGCCGGTTTATACAAGAGGTGATAAGAAGGTTCATTCAACATTTTCTAGGCCTAAACCTAGAGTTGAATCACCTCATGAGGAGTCATTTTGGGAGACATATCAACGTCTTCTACACCAAAAACAAATGGAGTCAAATGGATGCGATCAAAGTGAGTTTTCTAAGAAGGAGGTAGCTGGCCCTATTCCCAACAAAGGAGTATCTCATCCTATTGAACCATTTGTTGAGGAGGTTGATAATGAGAAAACAATCGAGAGCATTAAGCTAGATAAAGAGATGGAAAAATCTGATGAGATGAGTGGTAAAAAGGAAGAAAAAAGAGAAAGTGAGTTGATTTTGAGCAAAAATGTGAGGACTTATTGTTTTTCTAACGAACTTACCTTTGCTTTATTTAGTGTTTCTTCATTTGTGCAGATTAAGCAAAGTCAAGTGAAGTTAGTCATGCCATGCTCCATTCCAAAGTCACTTGTACAATTCACTAGTTTCCATGGAGTTTGTCTTTTAGGAATTAAATCTACTTGGGATCACCTCATGGAACAATTTCAATTCAAATCTGTCCATACCAAAGGGAAATCAATTCAAACCAACCATGAAGGGAGAATTCCAAACTTTGACTCTCATTTACTACCTATGGTTCATTCATCATTTTTACCTTCTTTTGAGTATAATTTCCATCCTAACACTTGTAATTCTTATGCAGATTTTGAAGGAAAGTATAAAAGGCTAGCAATGCCTTCTCAAGTTGAATCAATTGGTGGAAGGAATAATGAAATGGCAAAGGGAGTATTCACATTTAAAACTTATTCTATACCTTTTTACCATTTAGTTGATGATGTACCATTACTTCTTTACCCAATTTCTAATTTGTTTCAAGTTGAAGGTTATTTTGTTTTTGTAGGTTGTAAAGCTGTCCAAAATTTTCTAATTTTGATTAAAGACTTACAACCTGATTTCGTGCTTATTCCAACTAAAGCTGATGAGAAATTGTGTGTCACGCAAGATCCCAAAGCTGTCCTCCACGAGTTGTTTAGTGCTTCATCCATGCAACAAGTTGCTTTCAATTTATCCATGCAAGATGATTCAAATCAATGTCAACTAGTGCTGGATTTTACACCTTTGCACAATCAAGGTGTCAATGTGAAGATTCATGACCAAAGGCTAATTAGAGAATTTTGGATTGCCACTTGGGATTTTCACACGCCTTACACAAGCTCTTTCCTACCTTGGCGCATGTCCTTGTTTGAGAGCTTCCCGAAGCTAACCAAACGACATGCAACATGGCTCGTAGTCATTCATCTATTTCCAACATTGCTGTCCTTTAAGCGCACCATCGATTTGTGGACAAATCACTTTCAAGAGGAGACTTGAAGATTCGAGGACGAATCTTTTCGAGAAAAGAGGGAATGATGCGGATACGGGTGTGCAACAACTTCAATCTTGGGTCAAGGATCCTTTGGTTAACATTGGTGGTCCGATGACAAGATTAAGATCCAAGAAGGTGAAGGAAGCTTTACAAACCTTGATCATTCACCATACAAGCAAGGAGCAATCTAAGTTTGAAGATTTGATGGACCATGAAGTTACTTTGTTCACTTGTACGTTTGAAGTGAAAGAATGATCTCATACTTGTTAGCTTAGTTGATAGTTGTTTTAAGACTGTCTAGTTTAGTAGTTGTTAGGCGTTGAGTATTTTATTACTTATTGGTCCTTATCGGAAAGCCTTAAAGAGCTGGCTCTTTAAGCTCTTTATGTGGATCGAATTTCTTCCAGATTTATGTGGGCCGGATTTTACCCTAGTTTTAGCCTATAAAAGGCACCTCTTGTATGAGTAAATGACAGATTATTACAACCAGAAATCGTGAGGAATTTTCCTTTCAAGTTCTTAATCGAACTTACTCTTGAATTCTTGAGTTCATTGCTTAGGATTCAAATCTGACTTTATCGATTAGTTTGTTCCCTAATCGTGGTGTCTCTTCATCCATCTTTATTTGCTTAAGGTTGCTGATTGCCTTTGTGTGTCAGAGGTCTTGAGTTCATGAGAACAATCGAGTTCAATTTCCATTGGGAGAAAAGGTCCAATTCTGATAATTACGAGGTTGGGAGGGTCTAGGAGGGTCTTCCCCTAGGGTTGCTTATCAGAAGGTTTTTCAAGTGAAGAGGTGGAGACAATAAGTTTAGACGCACCACTGTGTCCTAATTAGTGACACTTTACCATGTCTAGACAGAGACATTAAAGAAAGGCGCTCATTGGGAGGCAACCCAATTGTTTCTTTTAATTGTTTGTTTGATTTCGTGTGATAGTTTAAATAAGTTCTCCTTGAATTTAACTGATTTTGGGTTTCAATTTTCGTTTTTGCTGATTTGTAGGTGTTCTTCTGTCATGACGCGCCCGCGTGATGACCTATGGAGCGCTCACGATCAGAATCGTCAGAAGGGGTTCATGCCCTCATGACGCGCCCGCGTCATGACGTATAGAGAGCTCACGATCAAAATCGTTAGAAAGAGTTTCGATCCTCATGACGCGCCCGTGTCATATCGCAGGAAGAGCTCATGGTCAGAGAGCCCTCTTGCTCCTGTGACGTGCCCGCGTCACGTTCGCGGGAAAGGTAAGGATTCAAAATATATATATATATATATATATATATTTCTTTCTCTTAACCGTAGCAAATTCTTTTCTTGAAAAAAAAAGGGGAGAAAAAAATTGTTAATTACAAATGATAATAATAATAATAAAATAATAATAAATAAAAAATAATATAATAAACAAAAGAATAATAATAATAAACAAAAATTTAAAAATTTTAAAAATTTTAAAAAATTTAATTAAAAAATTTTTTTTCTCTCTTCTCACCGTAGTTCACATAGATCGTTTTTTTTTTTAATTCTTTTTCTTTTTCCCCTTCTTTTCTTTCTTTCTTTTCTTTCTTTCTTTCTTCTTCTTCTTTCTCTTTTCTTTCTTTCTTCCCCGCTGCTCCCCTTTTCTCCTGTCTGTCACCCAAAGCTTCACACCACAGCTGTATTCTTCCCCATCGTGCACCGCAGCCGCTTTTCAACCACGCGCGCGCTGCCCACGTCGGCAGCAACGACCGCGAGCTGCCGCCCTCTACGCGCGCCACCACCATCTCTCTCTTTTCTCTCGATCCGCCACTCGCCGCTCCGTGCGCCGCCACTGCACGATTTTTCTCCATCTCCCTCCAGCTCCTCTGAGCCTCGCTGCTCCTAGCTGGCCACCACATCCGCCCGCCGCCATCAACTCACGAAGCCAAAGCTCCGTGCGTCACTGCTCACCCGGCGTCGAACACCACCGCAGGCCGTCCCTCGCAGCAACTTCCTCTTTCTGTCCGCATCTCCCCTCGCCTCTCGGGTCTCTGCGCACGCCGCCGTCGCTTACTTCACCTCACCCGCTGTCTGCACGGAAGCCGCAACAAGGCCGCCGTCCTTCTCTCTCTGAGCTCCGACGCCACTAACTCATCTCTAGCTCATCCGCAGCCCCATCTCGGCGCGCCACCTCCATCAACCCACCTCGCCTGTGCACGCCACTCGCTACTGTCCCCTTTCCTTTGGTTGTTGTCCAAGGTGGAGGTAATTGGACCTTGTCCCCCAATCTCTTAATAACTAATTGGTGCTGCCTGGGTTGCTCAATAGTTAATATTGTTGACGATTGGAGTTTATTTTCTCAATTGGTGATTTGAACCTCACGTTGCTTGTGGAAATTGGTTGACTCGTTGTGAGTGCTGGAGAACTCGCTGAGGTTTCTTTTGGGATTGTGGTTGAGTTATTTCTGAAATTGCCTGTTGAATTAGAAACCCTGACCGCTTGATTTACTTGTGAGATTGGTGGCATTTATTTAATTGTGGAGGACATCGTGGTGATTGGTCTATATAGCTATTTTGGGATCATTTGCTGAAATTTTCGTTGGACCAAGTTTACTTTTGACTGTTAGTTGGGGTTTTCTTTCCTTTGGGTCAGCCGTTGAAATTGTTTCATCAACTCTGTGGGTATGTTGACTCCACTAGATTATTTTTCACTTTTTGGCTAACTGATTGGAACTGAAAGTTTAAGATTCACTTGTTAAAGTCAGAGCTTTCCAATACTCTTGCTAGACTTGTTCACTTTAACTAGCCAACTGGAGCCATTTATTGAGTTTTAGGTGCTATTATTGGAATATTTCCCCTTGACTGTGCTCCACTCTATTTGGTTGGGTATTTGGTTGACTGCCAAGGACCTGTGACTGTGTTGCTTTTGTGGTATTTCTACATTGATATTGCTGGATTTAGCATATTCTCGGGGATTGTTGTTCAAATTTTTGGTGAATCCAATTTACTTTTGACTGTGAGCTGGAGTTCACTGCTTCTGTTGATTAAGTTGATTGCTCCAAACCATGGTGAGGCCGAAGTCATCCTCGAGATCTAGGGCCTCTCAGTCTCAGCCCCCATCACAAGTCTTCATTCCTGTGAATACACCTACCAATCTACCCTCATCTTCTAGTGCTCGAACCCGCTTGGGTAGGGGTAGGGGTGCTCAGGTAGATACCCCGACTCACTTTGGGGGGCACTTGACCTTCACTAGACCCGCCGATCAGCAGAGATATGCTAAAATCTGTGAGAGGTGCATCATATCCTATAAGTCTTGTGATAGACTCTCTCTGACTGCCCTTGGTATACGGGCGAAGGTTGATCAGATGTTTACCGCCATTGGGTGGCGCCCGTATTTTGATATTTCTTGCCCCACCTTTGTTGAGCTGATTCGGGAGTTTTACTCCACTTTTGAGTTCGAGTTGCCTACGAGGTTCACCGTTGAAACACCGAATGTCATTCATTTTCGTCTAATGGGTCGAGAGTTCAATTTCTCCATTACCCAATTCAATCTGGCATTTGGATTTATTACTAGAGAGTATGCTGAGACTAGGGAGTATGCGGAGAGTGCCTGTGATTACATAGAGCCGTTCCTATCCCACTACCATGATGTGTGGGAGGACATGTCCATCGATCGGCACCGCTACGACCATTCTAGGTCTAGGAGCTCCTTTCTTAAGAACCCTAGTGCCCGATATGTTCAGAAATTCTTAGCATACAGCTACTCGGGGCGCAAGGACAGCTCCGGCATACTCTCTCGGCCTGAGTTCTTCTTCCTCTGGAGTATGAAGAACAACATAAAGGTCAACTTGGGGTGTTGGTTGGCGGCACAGTTTAAGACGATTTTAACCAAAAAGAACAAACCTTTTATCCTTGGATCCTATATCATCCACTTGGCGACCCAGTTGGGAGTTCTTAATCTGGATGACCATGACCTCCATTTGGCATTCGAGATGGAGCACCTGGACGTCGACTGCTTAGAAAAAATGGGGGTCGTCGAGCGCCTGCCCAATGATTTCTTCCAGTTTACCCCTCCGGGACCACCTCGAGCTCCGAGTGCGCAACCTTCGACCCGGGCAGGTCCCTCTTCATTCCCTGGGTCGGCCGAGGGTACTGCTGGACCATCTACCTCCGCTTCTGCGCCACCTCCACCACCTGGGACTACTGAATGGCAGCAACTCCGGGAACAGGTTCAGACTTTGGAGGCTCGGCTAGTCAACGTCGACGCCAATGTCGCCGGCATGGCACAGAATTTGGCACAGTTTCTGCTTCATACGGGTTTCGCTCCTCCATTTCCACCTCGCCCACCTCTTTGACTCGGTTTTAGGGAAGTTTGATTGCTTTCTCTCTCACTTTTACTTTTTGTTTGACACATTGAGGACAATGTGTCCTATAGGTGTGGGAGGGTTCTATAGTCTTTTTAGTTTTTAGTAGTTGTTAGTTTTATTTCTAGTTGCTTACTTTCTTTTCTTGGTGTTTATCCCTCATGTGAACAAAAAAAAAAAAAAAAGAGGATGTTGGTTTATTGACTCTAATTCTACTTTTGCCAAGTTTTTTAAAATAAAAATGTATCGGGTTAATGTGGTTGGGTCCAAGATATCTCCTTGGTGAATATCGGACTGCTTGGCTGTTTTGATTTCTCTGTTAACTTTTCTAGGCATAGAAAATAACTGTTGGCATTTTAATGTGAACTGGTCCAATATTGACTCCAGTTCTTCATGTTTGGCAATAATGAGGCGAGCTGCTCCTACGCGTGGTTATTAGTGTTGTTATTTTGCGTTTTTGTATTGTTTGGCTGTGAATAAGTTTGATTGTACTCCGCTATTAGTTGCTACTGAGTAACAGGGAATTTGCACCTAAAAGTGTCGATTCTCGCGTCAAAAGGTGGTACTTTCTATGAGTACGTGGTCGTATAGCGGTAGGAGCTGAGTAACCGGGCTCCTTCATCTAAAAATATTGGAGTTTGCGTCCAAAAGGCTCCGGCGGCTAGAGACTAAGTCTTTTTGTGTTAATTATTATTATAAAACAAAACGAAAAAAACGAAAAAAAGAGAAGAAAGAATAAATAATAGGAAAGCTTGCCGGTTTATGGACTTAATATGGAGACTTGTGTGAATATTTGGACTATTAGTTGATAAATGTTATGCGCCATTCCTTTTTCTTAGATTAGCTAATTTAGAAATTGAAGAAATTTGTGGTTTAGAGGCTAACTGGGGGGATGGTTCTCGGATTTTAATCACTAGTGCTCGATATATGGTTTTTCTTGATATCTTGGCAATTTGGTAGATAGAGAAATGACCATTATCAAATTTTGGTGTCTGTACACTTTTCTTATGCTTGAGGGCAAGCATGGTTTAGGTGTGGGGGGAATTGATAGGTTGCAATTTTATTATTTATTTTATAACTAATTTTCCCTATTACCTGACCCGATGTGAACTAATTGCTAGATTCTATTCACTTTTAGTATTTGGCATTTATTTCAGGAAATAGAACAAAAATATGATAACAAGTACCAATTTGACAGAAAAGGAATGCAAGTGGCAGCGCTTGTCCTAGGGGCAATTTTGGAAAAGATAAAAATCTTTGGGCCCTTTCTTTTGGGCATGGGCTGGACCAAAAAAGGGTTGGTTCCTTTCTTAGCTGGAATGCCGCACAGGAGAGGATGGCTGGAAGGAGAGCCGCCGCACATGGGAGTTAGACATTAGAATAGGAACTACTAGATTGTAGAGGACAAGCACTATTTCTTTTTAGTTTCACTTTGACTTTTCTTCCTAGTTTTTCATTGCTTTTCTCCACGCATGTCAGGAGGAAGCAACTTTTTCCTTTAGCTTTGACTTTTCCTTCTTGTACCTTTTGAGTGGCTTTGCTCTACGGATGCTAGGAACAATAAAGAGATTCAATTGTCACCTGTGACTTTCATTTGCTTTCTAATTGTTCGACGAATTGCGGCTTCCTGAAATGCAGACAATGACCGTGACTTTTGTTGGAATTTCTCGTTGACTTAGTTCATCAAATATGAACTAATTTCCTCATTCTAGTCAAGAAACGACGGATGCTTTGGGTTGCCTAAAAACTGTGAGATCGATTTAATTTAATCT